ACTGCCAAATGGAGTTCTCCTGTATATACTTCCAGACTCTTCTGCATAAAGGGATGAGGGGGATTTCTCTTCCCCCACGGGCCTCATCATCCCACCACTTGTTGCTCTGTCTCACAGGGCATTCACTTCCACCATCTACTTTGTGGTGTGTCCATGCATACGGGTGTGTGTGCACCCAGCGCACATGTATTTGGAGTGGAGATAGCTCTGCTTCCTTCTAATCTCCCTCTTCCCAGGGTGCCCCTCGCCTACTTTCTCGTGGTCTAGGGCAATGCTGTCTTTGGTGGGAGGGACCCTAGGTTCTACAAGTGTCTCATGGAAAGGTCTGAGCCCTGCTCTGGTACTGGGTTCTGACTTCTAGAGCTTGTCATTCAGAAGGGGGCAGGGTTCACCTCCTTGCTGTTGGGAAGAGTACTGTCCTGTTTGGGATTGGGTTTGTGCTCTAGCAAGACACCAAGCCCTGGAAGGGCCACCTGGTGCCAGGCGGTAGCAGGGTAACAGAAGGAGGTGGCATACACGTTCTAACTCAGAAAATGTCACAGCCTTTGAGGTTCTGGTGGAATCTATGTGGTCATCTCACACACCCTGCTCACTTCATCGTTGAGTGAGCCGGAGAGAAGAGATGCACAGCACCTGCAAGGTGGCAACAGGTGGCAAGGTGCAGAAGAAACTATGGAGGATGTGTGGCCTGGTCCAGGGCTTGCATGGGAACAGGTCACGTCTTCAGTAAGGTTGACCTATATGTTTTCTCTCCTCTTTGCCCCTGTCAGCTTCAACAGTGAGCACAGCTTCACCCACATGGGAAATAGGTAAGGTTCCCCAAGCTATCTCTATCAGTCACCGCACTCCATATACTTAAGGGTTAAGTTGAGTGGGCAGAAACTTTGGGGCTGGAAGCATTAGTCAAAAGTCCTTCCTTCCAGAAAATTATCAGGACACGATGTAAATGGGGAGCACGTCACACTCCATAGGCCAAGGAATCAGGCCGAATCTCAAAACAGCTCTCTATCATTCTAGAAGAGGGACTGGTGGGTGCCCAGTTTCAGGAGGGGTGGTGCACTGGGTGCTTATTGCCAGGCCTGATGGTCTCTGCAAATGCAGGCTGGCCTCGCCATGGTGGACAGTGAGGCCACGGACTGCATAGCGGGAAGGGGGTGTATCCGGCTACCATCAAGGCCAGCATGTAGGGCAGAGTGAGGTCATCCTGGTGTAAAAGGGACCCTGCCCAGGTTTGGAAGGAGGAGTCAGGAGTGTGGCCCTTATAGCACAGGATTCCTGAGGCCCAAGATGGGAAGGTGATCATGTCCTTTTCCTTAAGAGAACTTTAACCTGCATGACAAAGCTTTGGTTATTGGGAAGCAGCCTTAGCTGTTTACAAAGTGTAGGTCATTGCCACTCAAGACAGAATCTTATATGAAATAATTGTGTCACCTCCTAGGGACAGAATCTGATTTGGGCCTGAGACTGGTGAATGGAGAGAACCGGTGTCAGGGCCGTGTGGAGGTCCTGTACCGCGGTTCCTGGGGCACCGTGTGTGATGACGGCTGGGACACCAATGATGCCAACGTGGTCTGCAGGCAGCTTGGCTGTGGCTGGGCTGTATCAGCTCCAACAAATGCCCGGTTCGGTCAGGGCTCAGGGCAGATCGTCCTGGACGACGTGAGCTGCTCAGGACAGGAGTCCTACCTATGGAGCTGTCGCCACAGAGGTTGGCTCTCTGGGTCCATTTTCTCTTGACTACAAATGTGCAAGAGGAGGGAGAGGATCTGTGAGGGAAGATAGAGTATATGACACCATGAGGACGCTGGCGTCATCTGCTCAGGTGGGCCTCAAGATCACTCAAGCACGTTCTGGGGTTGGTACTACTCATAGAAGACACGCTTTCTCTCCCAGGGACCCGCCTGGAGCCCAAACCATGTATTCTGTGGCTCTCACTTTCCCAGGGCAGCTGGTGGCTCAGGGGCCATGTCTGGCCACCTAGCGGGAGAACCAATATGGCCCGCTCCCTCCCCCATGCCACTAACTCTAGTCCAATGTTTGCTTGGGGGTAAGGCTGGAAAATTGCTCGCACAAGACCAAGCACTGTAAGGACAGAAACAGTAAGCCCTTTCTTTAGATACGGGATCATCCACTCATTACAAGCCGCCATTTAACATGGTAAGACCTTCTCACAGGCAGAGGATATGGATGGTAAATTCACCACCCCTGTCCCTCAATGGGTGTATTGATTTGATTCAAGCCCTTAGGTGACTCAGAAGGATTCAAGAGTATATAAAATATGCATGAAGTGCTGTGAGCTGCAGTAGGGAAGGGAGATAAATGGTATAAGGAATTGTAGGTAGGTAGCAAACGTTTGCTAAGGACAGTTATGGCAGTGCGGACGGGGGTAAAATCCCATGAAGAAACTCTTGGAATCAATGTGCAATCTCAGAGTCATGGCACCTGGAGGGCTGGGTAATGGGTCTTCTTACTGACTATTGGGTTGACTGTTGGCTGATCCTGTGGAGTATGATGTCATGGCAATTCTGGCCTGTTCCTCTCGGGAAGTGGCTTCGGGGAAGTGGCTTCTATATTCTGTTCAGAAAGCCCCAACGTGAACAATATCAGTGCTGGCATGGGACAGATCCATGTGCAACTGCCTGAAACAACAGCAGACTCATGAGGGCCCCTGAAGGGTCCACACATCGGCACAAGAACAGCATCAGCTGAGGTTGTAAATACGTTGATTATCCTGAGGCATTGGTTTCAATCAGTAAAAAGCTGGGCAGTATGTCAGACTCTTCTTGTCTTTCTCACAGCTGTGACGTCCTCCTCCTCACCCTGGCCAATTGAGTCCACAGTGTCCTTACAAGGCTTTTTTCTTCCCTCCCTGCCACGTCACCCCTCCTCCTTTCATTAGACCCCCTTTTGTCTTTAGAAACTTGGAACATCTTATTTTCTCCCCACTCTGTTCCTGAGCCTCCCAGTAGGCTTCTTAACTAGATGTTGAGATGCACAGAGTCCTGTCCTCCTATCAGTCTGGCTGTGTTTTCATTAACCCCTTTGATACTGCCCACAGCAGACAGCTTCCTGCAGGGTCAGAGAAATGGCCATGTGTTGCATGAACTTTGGCCCTTTAGTAGTGAGGGCTGACATGACCTTTCTGGGAGAACTGAGCCTGAGAACCACCGCCCTCCTGTCGAAGGGAAGGTCTGTGAGGACATCTGTCCTCTCCATCACTCTGCACTATTCTCAGCATCAGCAGGGCCACA